GCTGGGAGCATCGTCTTGCGCTATGACCAAAGATGCCACAAATTTGGCACTTCCCCTGATAGCCCCATGGTGTGTGAATGTTAGAATTTGGCTGGAACTGTTGTTGTTGCCAAGTCTGATGACCACCACGAGAGGCAGCACGTCTCTGTGTTTGTTGGCGGTTTGTGAAGTTGTTGCCATTGCCTCAAGAGTTGCTGTAGTTGGCCATAACTGGTGTGGTGAGGATAGGAGATTTTTTTGTTTGGATTTTGACTTCATGGTTGATAAGCTTCTCGTGTAACTCAGTGAGGGACGGAGGCGTAACGTGACTCTCGATTTCATCAATGAGAGTCTTGTAATCCTCGGGAAGACCTTCAAAGGATCGTGTCAATCTGGTCTTCGGGATCCTCGAGTTTTATAAGGAAAGCGAGTTTATCGAAGATAGTAGTGCGGTCTTGAACATACTCACTGATGGATTTGTTTCCGTTCGATGCATGTTTGAGTTGTTGTTGAAGTTGCTTAACATGGCCCCTAGTCAGCTTAGCATACGTAGCGGTGAGTGTGCTCCATATCTCAGCCGCTGTGTTGGTGTTAGAGATTATGGGCGTCAAGGTTGTGGGTATAGCACAAAGTAAGCCACTATAGATCAACCGATCTTGGTGTTTCCGGATCGTGTAAGCCGGGTTTGTTTCAGTGCCGGCTTATGTGGGCACCGTGGAGGAGGGGATGACTTGTGATCCATCATTATGACCAGCAAGATCATACCCATCAAGGAGTGCGTGGATCTGGCGACTCCACATCAGAAAGTTTGAGGTAGTGAGCTTCGTAACGTTTGACATGTTTACGTTAAGGATGTTGTTTTTGTCGTTGGAGATGATGACAGTTTCAGTGGATGATGCAGGGGAGTTGGCCGCCATGATGAAAACCGTGAGAGGGAGGGTAAGAAAATTTGAAAATAAGAGAAGAAAGGGAGAAGCGTAGAATGTTTAGGTCAGATCAATTGTTTTGATACCATAAAGGAATTGGAGGCTCAATACTTTTATTAATCATATGAAAGGTATTCATACATACGTACAAAGTAGGGTTAATGTATTCTACTGTATTTACTATAGAGTCTTTATAGGATTTTATATTTACTTAACACCACATTCACTTAATTTTTGGGTTTTAGTTTTAGCTCTAGAATTCTTTATGGATGCAATGTAGGTATTTGGTGCAACAAATAGAGTGTATGTCAACCACATTCATTGATTTTATTAGGTATAATGTGTAAGCCATATGAATCTCATCGAGTAGACGAGCTATGTTTCCACGAAAACTATCATATAGTTACAAATCCACCAAAGTAGGATCTCGTGTCAACATTCAAAATTTAAAAATCATTAACTTAGTTCTCCACAGATTAACAAGTTTTAATTTATTTCCCCCCGATTTGATAAATTGGGACTTAATTACCCGTAGACTACGATTTTAATGGTTTATTACTAACCAAATATAATTAAATCGGCTAAACTAAACCAAAATTCATTTTTAAACAATTTTTATCAAAAACTATTTTATTAAAGAATATTTTTCCCGCAAAGCCTAACGGAAACCACCTTTTTGATTTAGGAGGTTTGGAGCGGTCTATAATGTTTTGTGATTATTGTAGAACGTCAACGACTAAGGTTGCGGCTGTTGTTGGTAGCTGGCTCTACCTTTTTCCCTCCTCAGATATCCCTCTAGTCTATGTGTTTCATTACTTTTGGTTGGTTCTTCGTCTAGTCATAGATCGAAGGGTTGGAATTTGTGATGAATTTGAAATCTAATGTTTTGATCAAACAGTTGTTACTGATGATGCTTAGTTATTTGGTGTAATACTTGTGATTTTATTGGCGTCACATGATATTTTTCTCGTGACTATTTATTTATTTACCTAGATGATATTATCAATAAAGCTTACACATCAATCCATTTGTGGTAGTCTATTGGTGATCTTTTGGGTACAGTATATATCTATGTTGGTCTTCAATTTGATTTTTCCTGTGAACCAAAATACCAAGCCTAGTATAGATCTGAGTTTTGGCTCAAGTGGTTAATATGGTGGACTGTAAAAGATGATCAGTTTATATCTTGGTCTTAGTCAGAAGATATTAATCACAGTGTGATAACTAATCCACCCCTTTAAGTGTGTTCTTCCTAAAACTAACATAGGGTATATAAAAACAAAAGCCTACAAACTAGACCCAATAGAACATATAAAAGGCCCATTAGGTCGATTCAAAACACTCCCCGTAAAGTGCGTTGATAAATAGTCAAATAAAAACGGACCAATCGAACTGACTCATCTGACAGCGCCGGTCGTCTCTTTCTTGTCTCCTCTCCTCCAAAGGCAAAGTGCTTCACGTTTGAAATCTCCAGCTCGTTTCTATATATCTTTATAGAGGCTCTCAGTAATCGGAGATGGCAGAGAAGCCAGCGCAGGAGCAGGAGCAGAAGCAAAAGCTAGCGATGGAACCGGCGGTTCTGGACGATATCATCCGCCGTTTGGTTGAGTTCCGCAACACGAGGCCTGGATCGGGGAAGCAAGTTCACCTAAGCGAAGGTGAAATCCGCCAGCTCTGTGCTGTCTCCAAAGAAATCTTTCTTCAACAACCCAATCTTCTTGAACTCGAAGCTCCCATCAAGATCTGTGGTCAGACCTTTGCTCTAGTAATGAAAAATTGATTGATTTCTGAATACTATGGAAGAGAAACTCTCTTAGCTCTTTGCAAGCTGAGGTTGTAAGTTCTAGCATAAATGTTGTTTTACTGACTCAAGAAATTGATTTTTTTTTTTTTTTTAAAGTTCAATTCAACGAATGGGTGGGTAAAAGGTGGAATCTTTATACTACAAGTCTTAGATATGATTAAGAATAATGTTTTGAGTAGTTTTAAGTTATGGGTTTTATTGGAACTCTTTTATAGTGCAGAAGAGTTATGGATTTTGATTGTTTCTCATGAAACATTGCTGACTAAGTTCACTCACCAATCATTTATGGAGGTTGAAGGATATAACATTTTTCAACTCAAAGAATAAGTTGTCATTTTAAATCATGTAAATCTTCTTGAGCTTTGGCTGCTCCTTAATATACCATCATGTTTTCTTCTGGCTGTTTCCTCGATGTAATGCTTCAGTTTTTTTTTCTCTAAATTAATTATACAGGTGATATTCATGGGCAGTATTCAGATCTATTGAGGCTCTTTGAGTATGGAGGCTTCCCTCCAGAAGCCAATTATTTGTTCTTGGGTGATTACGTCGACCGTGGCAAGCAAAGCTTGGAAACAATATGCCTTCTCTTAGCTTACAAAATCAAGTACCCTGAGAATTTCTTCTTGCTGAGAGGGAACCATGAATCTGCTTCCATTAATCGCATTTATGGGTTCTATGACGAGTGCAAACGCAGGTTCAACGTCAGGCTCTGGAAAATATTCACCGACTGTTTTAACTGTCTTCCTGTGGCCGCTTTAATCGATGACAGAATACTCTGTATGCATGGTGGGATCTCCCCAGAGTTGACAAGCTTGGACCAGATCAGGAACATTTCACGCCCAATGGATATTCCTGAGTCAGGTTTGGTATGTGATTTGCTTTGGTCGGATCCTAGTGGAGACGTCAAAGGATGGGGAGTGAATGATCGTGGTGTTTCATACACCTTTGGAGCTGACACAGTTGCAGAGTTCTTGCAAAAAAATGACATGGACCTTATCTGCCGTGCCCACCAGGTCTTTTTTTTTTTTTTAACTTAATTTCGTTGAGTTAGTTTTAGAAAAACTATGCAAGCTGTTTTATGATTTTCGTTTATTTTAGGTTGTTGAAGATGGGTATGAGTTCTTTGCAGACAGACAGCTTGTTACTGTATTTTCGGCTCCCAACTATTGTGGAGAGTTTGACAATGCTGGCGCAATGATGAGCATTGATGAGAGCTTAATGTGCTCCTTCCAAATTCTAAAGCCGTCGGATAAGAGATCATCACCATTTCTGTGACAGCAATCATCTTGTTACCTCCATGCTTCAAATTAACACTACTCCAAAAGGTAAAATACATTTTTTTTCTTGTTATAGTTGACACCACATGCGTGTTAGTGCAACACTTGTTTCTACATTTCTTGCTTTGAGGTCTAGATAGTTCGGCATATTTAGCTTCAGGTCAAGCTAGTTCATCATCACATGTGTGTTAGCACATAAACTAGCTCATATCGTCATCAAGGACAAAGAGTTATATGCACTACACTGAGAATTGGTCACCTTATGCTGAGTGTTTTCTATGTGGCTCAGCTTTTGATTATCTTTTTGGTGTTTGACAATTTGCTGCAGCTGTACACTGGGGAGAGAGGATCTATAAACAGAAACTACTCAACTGTAACCTTAGTGGTTCTCCTGATGATAGAACATTTAAGCAAAAACACGGAGACCGTCTCCAACAGAGTAGACAAATTAGGTCTCTGCTGTAATTTTAGCTTCTCTCACATATATCTCCATGTTTGTCTAAAACGTGTATGTTTTCTCTTCTTTCTGAATAATCTTAGATTTCCTTATTTTTACCCTCTTATTTACTATGAAACTTCAAGGCCAAAACTTTTCTAGAGTCCCTAGGAGATTCTTGTGGGAGTACAAAAACATAAATCCGTTGTTCACTTTCAAAATTAATCAGGTGGTGCGAATTGTCAAATTTATACGGTGCTTACAGTCTTTAGTCACAGCTACTGCTCGTAATTGCCTTTAGTAGTACATAGGATCCAATCTCATGTCTTGCCTTGCGGCATTTCCTATAAACTATCAACAACCCTACATACAAGTGAAACCTCTATAAATTTAATAATGTTAGGACTACACCAAAACTAAATTTTTTATTAATTTATAGAGATTATTAATTTATCGAGATATTAATTGAACCAAAAATTCAGTTTGGGATTATGAAATTATATTAATTTATAGAGATATTAATTTATAGATTATTAATTTAAAGAGATTATACTGTACTATTAAACTCCACCGCATTCCGCTAAAATCTGAAACATATATTGAATATTTGAATGTAAACACGAGCATCAGAGGAGAATCAACACAAATGGTCTTAAATTCATAAGGTATTGAAACATTATCCAACAATTTGGCAATTTATACATATATATGTATTTAAGGGAAAGAGAAGCCGTTGATAGTGAAACCTCCATCAACGCAAATGGTCTGACCAGTAATATAAGAAGCTGCAGGAAAACAGAGAAATGCCACAAGCGATGACACTTCATTTGCCTCTCCAACACGCCCCAATGGTGTCACATTTTCCACCTTTTCTTTTACTTCACCACTGAGAAACTGAAACAATTTCACATAAAATTAAAGTCCATCAAAAATAATTTTTAATCACTATTTTCCCTACTTTTAGTGAGGTTTTTGTTTTGTTCTGTGCCATACATCTTTAGTTGCAGGAGTTTTGATGAACCATGGACAAACAGAGTTAACCCTTATGTTATCACTCGCCCATTCGCACGCCAAATTTCTCGCTAGCTGATTCATGGCTCCTAGAGTGAGAAAATTAATGTTAGGTTCAATAGAAGCAAAAGGGTTATTAACTGTTTTATGATGCATATATGTATGCCTTTGGTTGCTCCATAGATGGATGTACGACTCAAATTTACAACCCCAGCAACCGAAGACATGAGCACAATGTTCCCTGAACCAGAGGTTTTCAAAAGCGGGTGCGCGAGCTGTGCTAGATGAAATGTTGACTCCAGATTTGTAGCCATGATAAACGAGAATTCTTCTGATGTACACTCTATGGTCGGCTTCACAAGACCCGTTCCCACATTGCTTACCTATAGACACAAATAAACCAAACACAACATGATTTGGTGGCCCTTACGCAAAACCGGTTCTCACTACAAGCTGATAAACCATGAGCTTGGGGTCTGTATTTTTTAAAGTAATTTTTAGGGCCAAATTTTCTTGTTTGTTGTTAGATCAATTGTCATTTTTGCTAGGATTAAAGATAATGTCATGTTCATATATATATTTGCGGGGATTATACAGTTATTTTTCTTCTATTTTTATGGTTATGGATCTCATAAATAATACTTTTAGTTCAAAGATAGAAACTAATTTTTTCACTCAGAATATATCCTTTTGGGGTAAAAGCTATTAAATATGTACCAGGGTTGAAAATTTTTTCACATATTTTTAATTTTTTTTTTTTGTAGAAGAGCCAAAAAAATCATGCTTATATAGTAGTAAATCTCAGGGTTTGTTCTGCCGCTATGGATCCAAGCTGGACGAGAAGAGCGTATACATTAACTTACAAAGATGTTGAGTTTTCCTTGGAAGACAGAGGAAACGGTTTCCATGAGTTTCTCTCGTTGATCAGGAGAAGAAACGTCGCAGACAGAAGTGGTAACCTGAAACCCGTTTGCTTGCCACTCATGCAAGCTTTCTTGAAGCTGAGTTTCATCTCTGGCACACGTGTGGACTCTGGCTCCCATAAAGGCTAGTTCCTTCACCACGGATTCCCTATTCATATTACTCAGGCAATATGAGTTTATACATCATTGAGCCTTTTTCTTTACGAGGGTTTTCATTTTGTTAACTGATATTGAACTAGAAACATAATATAAGTCGTACATATATTTGATCAAAAAAAAAAAAAATGATCAAAATGATCGCCCAGATTAAAATATGAACGGCTAAAGCTTGGAACTGACCCGAGGCCTTTGGTACCACCGGTGACGAGAGCGGTCATTCCTCCAAGGTTCCATCTAGGTTTGTCTCTCAGGCTTTCCCCTGTCATAGCCATTTCTGATTATTAGCCAGATGGTTTCGTGGAGATTATTTGGTCACTACTGTTGAAAAGTCATAATGATAATGACCACTGGTCACTACTGTTGTCTAGACAGTCTAGACCACACATTATATATCCTTGTTAACGATGTAATTAAGGTGTAAGAAATTCTTTCTAGGTTAATTAACTAAACGAGAAAATGGCGGTTACGCTTAGCGAACACGAATATCACGTGATGGAGCAGCTTAAGGTGTATATAACGTAAGGTGTACTCCCTCCATCCAATTTAAAAAAAAAAACAGAAATACCTTTATAAAATATCCCTCAAAAGTGGAAACACCATGGCTTATTGGTTAAGGTTTTAAAAAGTTTCTACATCCATGTCTAGGGTTCGAATCCCACACTATGTAAAAGGCTTACAAAGAGATCATCATGGCGCAAAGAGTACCGTCATGAATGGATCTCAAAGATTTCATAGGACGCCTCAGGGTGATGCAATTAGACCTGAATCCACGAAAGGCATGTTGTTGAATGTCGGCTGTAATATCTTCTAACCCAATAAAAAAAAAATACCTCTAAAACTTGCACATTATTTACCATCTAATACCACTAAAAATTTAATTAAGTTAATGTTAAAAAATGTTTTTCTTTTCCACCTATTGAATGGTTTCCTAAAATAATGCCAACTAACTACAATATAAGAAACAAATAATTAATTAGATATATTTTTTAATTCAAATAAGTTCAGATTAATAACAAGAATCCATTTATACATATTCGGAACAACATATATTTTCCAGGAATTTACTTAAGAAATTTCCTATTTCCAAAGAGATTAAGTAAATTCTAATATATATCATAACACACTAGATATTTTCTAGAAGTTTACTATTTCTAAGGAGATTAAGTAAATATTAATATATATCATAATACAACATTCGAAATAAAACTAATCAAATCTTAGCTTTTCCTTTGACCACATGTTTATAAGTAAATTATTTTTATTACAATAATATACTAGCTATTAAGAACTAAGAAATACTTTTTTGAAAATATATATAAAAAATACTTAAATTTAGTTTTCTTTATCTTTATTTTTATTTCACATACGAAAAAAATTAGACTATTTAAATCATTTTGTGACAAGATAGAAATCTTATATAATAAAATTGAGTTTTGTAACTTCTCCTTGCGCCACGTCATCTGTGAGATAGAGGCGTTTTCTGCCACCTCAGTGCCTGTCCAAACCGGTATTCCGCTTAATCAAATCATGTCTAATTTCGGTTGAGCAATCTGCTCGACGGGCCTACTATTTTCATACATTTTGGCTGGCCCAGTGAAATATTATGTGAAGCCCATATTTGTATTAGGTTTATGCTTCTTCTCCACTGCGTCTCCAACGAGAGCCGACACCATTTCACAAAAACTTAAACACCTCTCAGATTACCGTTACGTCTCCAGCTCACATTAATAGCTGATTAAAGAGTTTCTCCATTCCCACTCCTTCCACTTCGACGCATTCAATCGATATCTTCCTATACCACAGGACCCCCCTCAAAAATCCCATTATAAATATCAGACCCTCCAACGATGTACAACGTAACTCAAATGATACCCAAAAGAAAACTTTGCTCTACCAAACGATTCAAATGATAGCGTCTTCCTACTCTCTCCTTGCCGATTTGTACCGGCCGTTGATCTAACACGGCGGAGGTGCGACTACTCCAATTTTGGGAGGTCAGAAATAGCAACAAAGGTGGGGAGTTGATCATTACTGACATGTTGCTCATTGATGAGAATGTAAGAATCCTTGATTCCGATTAGAAACCTCGATGATACGTTCATTCCGTTTATTTTAGATTTGTTTTAGTATATTGATTTAAGATACTTTTATTCCGATTAACCCTCTTGATGATACATTCATTCGATCTTCTTATATATTTTTTTATTTCGTTGATGAGAATGTTTTTTTATTTTGTTCAGATTCGTAGATTTAATAAAGTTTGATTCCTCTTACATTCATTCGATCCTCTTATATTTCGTTTTTCTTCCTTCATGAGAATGTTTTAATATTTTGTTGTGATTAATTATTTTAATAAACTTAAGTTATGCAAGTGGATTTGAAGCTTCCGCAATAATTTTGTGCTCTTAATGTGGATAAGATGATACTCTTATCGTTCACATATGCTCATTTTTTATCTACCAATGGTTGCTCATCTTTGTTGGTGGCATTCTCACTCTTCGATGACCATAGCACACACTGGAACAAGCTTCTGGACGCGTCCCAATTCTTACTATTGGCTTCCAGTCTACAGATATAACATGGTGTGTACTGTCCTCGACTTTTCTAATTAGTGTTTATGTCTTCAGTAATGGTTTTGATATAGTTCCAAACTCCAGCTTGAGCATCCTGGAGAGCATGGTATAAAAAAAGAACAGAGGCAATCTCCTATGAATCTGATGCAGAAGCGAACACAAGAAGAAATGCTTCTTGGAACCCTTTAGATTGTGATAATGTTTGCATATTATTATTAGGTTAAGATGTAGCTTCGCCTATATAAGGAGTTGCAGAGATGTTGCATCCCTTAAGAGATCTAAGAGAAGTGAGATCTAAGAAAAGAGATCTAGGAGAGTAGATCAAGAGAAACACATTGATTTAGTTTTGAGAGAGTTTCTAAATCTAATAAGAAGTGCTAGTTCTTATATTCTTGTGTGTTTGTGCAACTTTAATTGGTATCAGAGCTTGAGTTGAAGCTTTGATCTAAACTTTAATTGGTATCAGAGCGGTTTGACAAAGATCTGCAAGAAGACCAAAATACCTTTCAAGTAGGAATAAGGATCCTTCAAGTAGGGCTGGGTTGCGGGTCAAACCGGCCCTGCTGACCAGCCAACCCGCGGGTTTTAGTTATTTTTTTTGTTAAAAAATCTGACCCGCGCAATCCGCGACTATATAAATTTACACCCGCACCCGCCTTGTTTAATTTTCTGGGTAACCCGCGGGACCCGCGGGTTATATATCTTTTTTAAAAAAATAATTATTTCATTTATTTTTTTATGAAAAGTAATAAAATAATATATTTATAATAAAATAATATATTTTAAAATTGTTTAATTATTATTTTTTAAAAATAAATACCGTATTTTTTAAAAAATATTTATTTTTCCAAAAAAATACTATTTTCTAACAAAAAAAAAAAGACTATTTGAAAAAAAAAAATAAAAAAAATTGCGGGTTGGCGGGTACCCGCGATTCAAAATCCACCAACCCGCACCCGCCCCGCATAAAATACTCAAAACCCGCACTCGCACCCGCCAATCGATTTTTTTCAAATTGTTCAACCCGCACCTGCCCCACAGCGGGTCAAACGAGGCGAGACCCGCAGGTGCTGACTCATATTCCCAGCTCTACCTTCAAGTAAGAGAAGGAGGTCGCGGCAGAAACTGTCAGAAGATCATGGAACATGTGAAGTTGTGGGAGAAACATTCTCAAAGAAAGCCCTGCGATTACCCCAAAATACTTTAGTTTGATATCATTTACTAATTGATCAACTTCTAGTCATGTCTTATTGGATCTGGTCCTGATGGGAAACACACAGCTCTGAAAGCAGTCACAATTGTACTCGATTTTCCACCTCCACAACCAGGATCAGTGTCAGGTCTGACATTACTTGATAGGGTCTCTGTATCAGATCCGAACTCGGCTCTGGCACTGCAGAAATTGGTGCAAGCTGCAGTAAGCATTCCTCAGAAGGGTTTACATGTGGTATAGTTTTCAAAACATTAACTTAGAACGAATATTGTGGCAGGTATGGTTCCTTGGAGAAAATACAAACTACGCTGCTTCAGAATATGTGTAAAGACTAGGAAAATTCTCATTATGATCATAAAACTATACCAAAATTTGCTAAGTCCCAAAACACATATTTTCTCCAGCTTTCTTTTTCTATCTCCCTCTATTCTTTCTACAAAACTAATTTATCTTCTTTTATTATAAAGATAAACCCAAGACTATATACAACTTAACAAAAAATATATAAATGTTAATTATTTACATTTTTTTGTAAGATGAATTCCAGATTTATAAATTAAGCTCATATCATAATAAAAACAAATTAAGCTTACATCAAAATGATAACTCCATTAAAATAATAAATAAATCAACTATTATACTTTTCAAACAAAAATTATTTTTACTACTGAAAAAATTCCATTAAAGAAAATTAACACTTGCATATAAATATAAAAAAATATAAAAAAACTAAACAAAATCAAAAAAAAAATAGTATAGTTCCGTGTAGAATTATATATATGGTACAACTAAATTATGTATCAAAATAACTTACTAATATCACAAAACTGGCGCGTAACGCCAGCAAACCCCTAATCTATATATATGGTACTTTTCCGCGTAGAATCATATATATGGTACTTTTCTGCGATACGCGCGGATTCTATTTCAAATATTTTATTTTGTTGCAATAGCATGGAGGTTAAAATTATTCCATCAATTTACGAAAATATAAATTTCTAGATTTTTTTTTTGTTTTACCAAAATTGATTTTCTATATTTTAAAGTACTTATGTATATTTTTAAAAAATATTAAATAAGAATATCTAAATTGATTAAATGTCATTGGTTGATAATTATTAAAAAGTGTATAAAATAAGTAAAGTACATTCATTGTATTCAACGTAGAGAGTTATACTTCTACGTCCTAAGTTACAGAGCTAATTAAGAGAATATATGATGAAAGAATGGTGTACATTTATATATTTTCGACGTTTGAAATTTTCTTACATTCTTTTGCACCAAAATCTAAAGTTGTAAAGATTAGAAAGCAGATGATAATAGCTTGGAGTTTTCCGTTGTGATTTCTTGAATCGAAACAATATTATTTTGTAACATTTCCATGATTTCTTTTTAAACCAGGTGTTTATTAGAAAATTTTCACAATCTTAATATATGAAAAGGTCACTATGTAAATAGTGTGCTTTTTATATATCAAAGCGCTTATACTTTCACCACCTTGAAAATTAGGAGTTGCATGATTTTGGTGTTCGTCTAAAAT